ACAGCCCAGGCTTGCCAGCTGTGCCATCATAGCTCAGGGTCCTGAACCAGGAGCATAGATGTACCCAGGGCACCAGAAGGGTCATCAGCAGCAGGGTGTAGTGGCTCAGGCACTCCTCTGCCTGTACAAACAGTTCATTGCACACCTCCTAGGGCAGACACAGCAGGGACATGCTCAAGGCACATTGGCAGTTCCAGTCCCAGGGCACCTCCCCAGAGAGGCCCCCAGAGGGGAGGGCAGGAATGCAACTGTTCCTTCACCCCAGTAGTCCAGGAGCCCTGTGCACCCCAATCCTGGGAGGTGTGGGCTGGGGGGCACCACAGCAGAATGGTTGTCCTACAGAGGCAGAGGCAGGGAGTGGGGTCTGGAGCCATGGCAACAAGTACTGCCAGCAGCCTGGCCTCTCCCACCCTGGGAAGGAGGCAGGGGAGGCAGGCTGTCTACGGCCAGCACCCAGCAACTTGCCGGCTCCAGGGAAGCATTCAGGGATGGGGGGCTCGGCTGGCAGCTGCCTGGGCTCAGGGCTGCCTGGCTGGCTTACCATGGTCCCTGGGCACCCATGCACTGATGACCCTTGATCTGAGGCTGAGCAGCACATGGCCCCTGGTGCCTGGAATCTTATCTCTGAAATGTTGTAAACTCTCACAAAAAGCCGGCCAACCTGGACACAGGGGAGAGTGCCCACCAGCTCCAGTGGGGATGCAAGTTCCAGGTTGCCACCACCCACTGCTGGAGCCATCCCAATGTGTTGGCTGTACATGAGACACTGTGGCGCTTTAATCAGAGTGGCTCTCAGAGCCTTTCTAATTAATTAAAGCGCCCACCCCCATAGAATGTGTAAAAGTACCCTATGTGACTTCCCCAACTTTGTCTTTTGACTTTTGCCACAGTCACATGGAGATGGATAAGAAGATCCAGCTTGACTTTGATATTTCACATGGAGCTTTCAGTCACAGCAGAGAAAAGCAGAATTTTAATTTCTTTAGGGCACCAGTTGTGTATGGTAGCTATGGAAAGACTAGAAAGATAAAACTTCCCAGTGTTATGTTTTAGTCACTTTTAACAGCATGTCTATGCTTAAAGCTCAATAATAAAATTTGCCCAACTCCTCAAGACACTTATAAAAATTAGAATTATATTCCCTAATTTCATTTTAGGAAACACTTCTACATAAATAAATTCCAAGGAATTCAATTAAAGTTACAGACTACACTAATGTAGTACATTTGATTTTATTTCCTTTTCACAAAGGAGTTTATATTGTGACTAATATGCTAAAAAAGTGCCAGTCAAAATATAAGCACTCCTGCCTATCACAGCAAGAGCAAATTGTCAAACATGCAATCTGATTTCTCTCTTGCTTGTCCCAATTTTATGCTGGATGCATTCCACTTTTATTGGTGTACTTATTCTTTAGAGCAGAATTAAGTCCGTGTTTTCTATTTGTGTGAGTACAATTTTGCATGCTCACACACTTTTATCCATAGTTCTGAGCAATCATGCATGTGACAAGCAATATAGCTTTTTATAACCTGCATTCCATACTTAAAACATGAACCCTGAATTATTTTCCAAGACTGAGTTATGTGACAATGGATTATAATTTAAGACCACTTTAAAAAGTGTCAGTTCAGCTGCCAATTAGTAGATACTCCATAAAAATCTTACAGAAGGCACACTTTAGGACAAATTCAGTAGCATATTCTTTAATAAAATAATCAACAAATGGTCAACACATAAAAAGTGGCTTCAATTCTAAAACCCTTGACTTTTAGGTCATTTCTAAAGCCTTCAATTTTGCTTTAGGAAGCCTGGAATCAATTTTTCTCTTATTTATCAGGGCCTCACACAATTTGAACACTTCAACAAGAAGGCAAAAACACCTACAGGCAGCTGATCTTCAAGCTCTTCTGTAGCTCACAATCATATGGCCAGCCTTTCCAGATACCTAGTGAATGAAAAACCCACAACTTTTCTTTTTATTGCTTCAGAGAAATCTCAGTGATCCTTATGCTTCACCCAGAGAGATGTTTGTTCTTAGGCCTGTGAGAATTGCTTCTCTCCAGACAACAAAAGCAGACACTCTACCTTCTAGGCTGGCCCACTCTGAAACTTGCTTTTTTCTCATTATTTCCTGGACTCTTCCTAAACATTCCTTCGAAATGGCACTAATTTCAAATGTTGTGGAAGACAAGGTTCTTTGGGTGAATCTGATATCTTTTATTAGACAAACTTAAATAGTTGGGAAAAAATGTTGTGGAAGAAATTTGACAGTTGTCCCTGCCTGCAGGTCAGATAAAAATGATGTCCTGCTTTGGCCTCCTGTGGGATTTGCATAACCCATCACAATGGGTGCAGACAGAAGTGACAATTTTTCCCCAATCTGGCTACAGAAAGCAGTCTATAGCCATGACAAATCACAAGTGCACAGCTGCAGACTGCTTAAAAAATGGCCAATCAGGCAAAAATTTGAACTCTCATTGCAGGAAGGTTCAGATGAAGATGTTTCAAAATACAGCACCTTCTGTAACTTGTATCTGTGCTATCTCCCAGCCTCAAGCTGTTTTCAGAATGGGAGGGTGAAGAGGGAGTGGAGGGAGTTTGGTTTGGCGGTTTTTCAGTCCCTGCTGGAGAGTGGAGTCCCCCAAAGTGGGAGCCCAAATTCACCCATCCCACCCCCAGTGCTGGCTGGCAAACACCTAGAATGAGCTCTCGCTCCTCCCTTCCCCCCTGCTAGGAGACCAGCTGTAGGTTCCCAGCCAGCAGCTAGCTTCTCCTCTCCCCTGGGACCAACACTGAACTTCTGTTTGTTCTGGGGAATCGCTGTAACTCAGAACACTTCCTGCAAAGTGTTCTCAATTACAGCGGGGAGTTGCACTTCTGTCTGTGGCCAATGTTCCTTAATGCTTCATTTTTATGACTAGGTTACCGCATTGTTACAGAGATATCTCATTCTGTGTGACTGGTACTTCCTGGCTGCATTTACACAAGATTGACTAAACAGTAGCCCAAGATTCCTGCACCATAGCATCACGTGGCTGCAACTGTGACATAATACAATTGCGCAGTAGTCTCGGGCTACTGTGCAGTAGTAGCATAACAAAAATCTGTTCATCAGCACTACTGCACAGTAACTCGGGTTACTGCATAGTTATTTAGTATTTGTTTATCCAAGTACTAAATGACTGTGCAGTAATGACTGTGCAGTCAGCATCTTGTGTAGATGCAGCCAGCGAGGGCATTTTGTTTATTAAACTGCACATTATACTGCACATTATTCTTAATACATTTTTGTTGGGGGGGGGGTTCCTGCCCACTGTTAACATACCTACTAATATTATTATTGGAAAAGTCAATAGACTTTTAAGCCTACAGAAAAAATAACAGCACTCAATTTCATAGATCAGATAAATTTAAACAAATATAGTCCTGGCTGCGAGGCAAAACAAGACATGACGAGGCACTTTAAACCAAAATATGAGATCAGCCAGAGGTGTTAACTAGCTAAAAAAAGTGTGGTCATTTCAGACCGCTTTCTAAATACAACAAATGCCAACTCAGCCAAGAGATTAGCAGACAGTCAACATAATCAACAGTCTGCTTGGGGCTATGCAAACATGCTGACTGGATTTCCTATGATAAGCCTCAAAGAGGACGCAGGTTCAGAGAAAAAAATAGGGTGTGGAAAACCTTGTATTATGGATTATGCGTGCATCAGAAATAATTTGCACTTGCAATCTGGCAAGATACAACAAATCCTAAAAAGCTGTTTGAAGGAAAAATATTCATTGTGCAGGAAGGATTCTGGAGAGGCAGTTTTCAGAATTAATTCCAAAAAAAACACTGGACAAGTATTTCTGTCAATTCACATATCTTTATTCTTTAATTAAAGCTTTGCATTCTGCTTTGATTTGACTGTCCCCTTTATGTTTTATTCATACACCGTTAACATGAATTCTTTTGTTAATTGCTGCGACTCATGGGGATTTGAAGTGGTAACTTAGATCATTTAAAATGCTCTTAATTTCTTTCAGCCTTGAAAAATATGTTCCCAAACAGTAGGGATTCAGTTGCTGCCAAGTAATTTAAAGAGACACAAAGAAAGCTAACTGACAAGCCATAGGTAATTATAACCTATGAAATATATGGTCCATTTTTGACAAATGTCAGTATCAGCAGTCCTTCAATATGAAGAGGATAGTCTACCAGTAAATATGGGAGTCATTGTTAAGTCTGGGGATGGCTGAGTAGGCCAATCTGAGGTCTGCATTGTAGATAACCTATTAACTGGTTGTACACAATCATCATGTCTTCTAGAGTTGATCATAAGCAGTTATTCTAGTTTTATTATGGCTTTCTTCCCATACAGGAGATACTTAGAAACACACAATAGTACAACTACAACCAGTTAAAACACATGATAGTACAACTACAACCTCCAATACTCTTGGCTACATATAGGATATACAGCCTATTATGAAATTGAAATATGTGTTACTGCCAGTGAATCAACATGATTGTGCACCTGCTGATCATGCCGTTTCTCTGAATTGTTCCAAGACTTGAGCAGATTCTATACCAACACAGCCAGCCATGGAGCAGATGCTATGACAGAGCAGAATCTCTCCACTTTAGCTCATAGAAAAACAAAACCTACAAACTTATTAACTGGTTGTAGACAATCATCATGTCTTCTAGAGTTGATCATGAGCATTTATTATAGTTTTATTATGGCTTTCTTTCCGTACAGGAGATACTTAGAAACACATGATAGTACTCTGTTTATTTCCTCAGTCTAGATAAGTCCTGTGCGACTGGAAGCCCTGCATTTGTTTTATTATATTGTAATGTGGTTGGTGCTGGAGCAGTAAAGCCCTGGCTCAGTTTGACTTCTGCCCAAGCTCCCACCTTGTTACCCCTTTGGCCTCTGCAGGTCCCACCTTCTTATTTTTCCTGCCATGTCTGGATGTTAGAGCTTGAGAGAGAGGCTGCCCCTAGAGGAGTGAAAGGGGTTTTGAATGTCAGGTCCTTTTCTGGACTGAGGCCCACTGGCCTTGTCCCACTTTAGTTTGACTTAGCTCCCCAGGCTTGGGTCTGCTGTCACAGGACCATAAGCTCCCAAAGTCCAGCTCCAGCCATGCTCTTGTGGTTCTGGGTCCCTTGATCCATCCTTAGGCCTTCATGGCCTCTGGGCTCCACAGCCCTTGGTTTCATCCTCTGTAGGCCCTGGACTTGTGCCCCCAGTCTCTGCTGCACCTTGCCCCTCATGGGCTCTGCACTTGAACACAAAGTCTTTGCCATCTGACACCAGGGTCCTTCTGCCAACACCAACATCTAGGATCTGGGGTGCCCTTGGGCACCCTTCTCAGTGGCCTCCTCCACCCCTACAACCACAACTTGGTTCTCCATTATAAATGAAAACCAAAACATGAGTGTCCACTCCAAAACCAAGGTTTCCCTTCCCAGGGTTAATTGTGCCCTACAAAAGCCATGGCCTAAAGTGCCTGAGGTACTTATCTGTTCCTGGTTTGGGATGCAGAATTTATTACACCTCCACTGCAGCTCAGACTCCGTTCTCTGGGCTAACCAGTCTGTCTATTTCCTGGAGCTCTGCCCTCTGCAACTAATGTGGCCAGACCGCCTCCCCTGGCTCAGGCCTAGAGCCTATCCATTTCTTCCTGGGTCACCTGCCCCTGCCCCCACTTCTGCCTCCACTGCTCACACCTGGGATAGGCAGCCATTTTGTTCCAGGGCTTTTCGCCTACATTTATCTCATTTGTTAGAAAAGGCCAGCTGCCCCATGGCTCCCTTTCCCCTTCAGTAATGGGGTAGGGGCCATGTTACACATACCCAAGGCTTTCAGGCCTTCTGTGATGTAGATGTAACAGAGTTAGATCGGGCTCTCTTATAGCCTGGTCTGTGTCTAGCTGGGCTTATGCTTCAGCCTGTTGCAACAAAGGAGGTTCAGTGCAATCGGCCCATTCCACCCAAACTTCTGATGGGACCACAGATGTGGCACAAGGTGATTGGAGAATTCACTCCAAACTCTGGATTGGATGAGATGCTATCCAGGGGTTGGCCCCCTGAAGGGATAAAAGAAGGCAGGTGCTACAGTCAGGAGGGAGAAGTACATGGATATTGAAGAGCTGGGGTGAGCTGACCCAGTGGGGCAGTCAAATGAGCCCCAAAAGAGCCTAAAGTTAAAGGACAAGACTGGAGTGAGAGTGGGACAGCGGAGACTGAGGCACTGCTTGAAAAGCCAGCAGTATTTGGGAGACAGAGCAAGACGACACCTGTCAAGTCTGGACAGGGCTGTTAGGATATCCTTTGTTTGTTATAGGGGAGGGAATTGTAACAGGGAATTGAATCCCTGTTCCATGGACAATTTCAGAATTTCATTTTTCAGTCTGTTTTGGAATATCTTGAAAAAAAGCTCCATACTTTTCTATGGAATGGGGAATCTCATTTATGGCCAGGTCTAATATGCATTACAGCATATGCTCATGACATATTCCAAAGAAGCCTTATGAATGGAAACTTATAAATGTAAAAATCTACAGTCTTGCAAGCAGAGCTCCAGCTTTAATGATTTTTATTTTTTGCAGAGGCCTTGAGATGTCAAAGTGCATGATTTATGCCTTTGTGACCATGAGTTTACAAAACAAAATGTCCTATGTATCCTAGGATTGTACTGGAAAGAAATTTTGGACATTGAACTTCACATGTCTGGGAGCCAAAATAAAACAATAGGTTTTGAAGACAAGTTTCCTTATCATTAGAAATCAGGTCCAGCTTCCAGTTTCATAAGACAGAATATCTGTACTTGCATGGATATGTTGAATCTATTTTCCAGACCTATATAGAAAATATCAAAACTACTTTTTGAATATATTCTCTCAATTGAGAGAATCCTACATTCTCTTTACATGAAACAGCACTTGAAAGTTTAATCCTTCTACTCCCTTTTCACCCCTCTAACCTACTCACCACATTGCACATGAAACATGAAAACTTCTTTTCACATGCATCTCTTTTGTTTTTGCAAAATATTTTCTCAGAACAAAGTATCAGCCAGTGCCAGGAAATTAGACATAATGCAAGTGAATGATTCCTTTCCTACTTCATACAATGTGAACAAAAAAGAAATGTTAGAATTGGCAGATGACTTTGGCCTAGCATCTTCTGAATTCTCCAGTACATCTGATGCCAGACAGACTTTATTATTTTAAATATAATATCAACACAAGTAAACATTGCACTCACACTGCCCTTAGGATTCCAGAACATTAATAGCTGTAGATAAATTTTGCTATCAAATTAATAATTTTGCTCTCCAGTGCAGTAGTTATCAATCTTTTTAAACACGAGACACCCCTTGATAGACTCAAGGCACCTCTCAGAAAATGCCAGCTCTTCATTTTTTCTTTTTTTGACTGCATAAAAATAATAGAGCAATTCTCCTTGGTCTGGAGCCCAACGTTAGCTAAGATCTGTGTTCATAGGACATTTTAAGTCAGAAATGTATATCCTGTTATTATTATTCAGTATCTATATTGTAGCAAACAGTATTAGATTTATTGATTAGTTCTTGAAAAGCATACCATCCATAAGGGTCAGCATGAAAGAAATCACATAGAAATGTATAGGAAAAGCAAAGCAAATGGGTATTCAAAACTGGTGTAATAGATAGAGCGTGATAGATACCAAGAAAGTGTAAACTGGGAGGCCTTATTAAAGGCCCTTAAAGAAGGGCAAAAGTCTTGTTACTTACTGCACACTGAGGGGATGGAGAGCTTATGGATAAATCCAGAAGAGGAATGAAGAGAGGCCATATCAGAACTTATTTATTTTCTCTTTGAAAACTTGGCAAGAACTTGCTGGAAAATGAAGAAAAGGAAGGGAAATGCAGGGGCTGACAGCCTCAAAGAAATCTGGGCAGGGGTCAGAACAAGCTTATTTATCATGATGCTAGAAATGGACTCCTAGCTCCAGGCAGCCATCTATGAGGATTCCAGTGATAGTACATTGGTGCAGCTTATCTGGAGTGCACAGTCATGACAGCTGTGACTAGATTAAGCTAGGTGGAGAGGGGAGTTAAGTTTGCTAAACTGTTTTCAGTGGAAAGACAAGCTCTACAGCAAGGTATCAAACTCATCTGGCCCAACAGATTGGATGAGCATTGCTGAGCCAGTGCATGAGCTGGACTGGGACCAACCTCTGCAGAGTCCCTGTGTTGCCGGGTGCAACCCACATGCAGCACATGCCAACCCCTAGTCCAGGGCATGGCTGCAGGTGGTGCCTTGCGTGGACTCTTTGTATTCGCTGCAGCAAACAAGGTGTTGGGTCGAGCCCCTGCACTGCATGCAGTGCATAGAGTTAGGGCCAGCACAGTGGCTCAGTCCAGGAACCCAAGGGCCTGATCATACAGCTCCATAGGCTGGATCTGATCCACAGGTCATATGGTTGATATCCCTGTTCTACAGAAAGCTTCTTTTCACATTGTGAGTGTATCAATCTTCAAAACTATTATCAAACTAAGCATGTGGCAACTTGAGAGAATGAGAACAAGTTTAGAAAATCCTCAATTCAAAATCTGCCTCTGCTA